GAAGTTGAAATAATACAAGATGCAAAAAAGTATTTAGTTATGCATATATTTTCCTGCGAATCAAAATCGGAGGAGAACGTACGAGACATGACGAAAAAAAGTCTGTTAAAATTAGCATTTCAAGACTTACTGCTTCAAGCGAGTTGTATAAGCCAAGGTGGGTAAAGTAAATGAGCCATAGGTCAAAAATCTAATAGTTCACTCATAAAAGGTGGAATATCTTACATTCGCTGGTATAAGAGAAAACAGCATAAATAAGCAGGAACTTAATATAATAGGTTGTAAAGAAAGTCTCGGGCAGCTTTAGAAATTTCATTTTCAAAATTATTTTTTCCGCATTCGGTCGAATATTAATTGGGTTGTTTCAAAAGTTCTACCCCGTTTTCAGTACCTTTTTTTGAGCTGCCGATTTTGGGGGAAGAGACCATTTTTCATAAACACTGCTTATATCATTCAAAAGCTCTTTTCTTCTAGTTTTCAGGCATATTTTCGTTTTCATAGATCTTTGTTCGCTGTATGGTTGCATACTTTGAAAGAACAGCGGAACGAGTGTGAAAACTTTCGTCTTTGCTTTATCGCCGTGAAATCTACAGCCAAAAGAAAAAAATTCTTTTAAAACATACATAATGTTCGCTGGAGACTTGTGCTACGAAATGCTCATCGAGATATGATTTCAATAGATTTTGAACCTACAAATTTTTAGCTCAAACATAACCTGTCTTTATGGTCCCTTGAAGTCGCATAAAAATCATAAACATATTGCAATCGCGGAACTTTTACTCTATACAGTAAGATTAAAGCTAGAACAACTGCTGCTAGAAGAAAGAAAAGATTTCCTGGTTTGGCAACAGCGAACAAAATCAGAAATGTCAAAAAATTGCATTTTTTGCCGCCTCAGAAAGAGCAAAATAAGTGGGTCCTTTCGAATTTTTCAGCACAAAATTTTTGCGAAAGAGTTTGATGAAATCCAAAGTTAGCGGTACTGCTCAGTCGACTATGGGCTACACTGTGAGCAGTGCTCGTGCAACTCAGCTGTATTCCAAATCAATTTATGCTTCTGCAATGTGAAGTTTTCTACAAGGAGGTGTTCCTCGATTTTCGCCTATAAAATTTTCTCCACTGTTACTGCAATAGTAGTCTTAAAGAGTGCGCAGGATAGCCAAAGATTTGCAGATTGTAATACAGTTTATAGCGATTGCAAAGATTATTTCTGAGAAGAGTTGTGGTGAATCAAAGTCAAAGCTCGGAAACGGGCAGAACTTTTGAAACAACCCAATACAATATATTTTTGCAACGTTTGCAAGGAGCTTAACCTCTCTAACAACGTTTCTAAATTTCATCGATGCCCAATCGTATCTGATCTATACACCAAAAAAGGAAACATTGAAAAAAGTATACTTTAAAAATTCGACCGAATGCGAATAAATTGATTCTGAAAATGTTGTTTCCAAAACTGCTCAGGAACTTTCTTTACAATCTAATAAGCTCTTGATGATCTACGTTGTTCTCTCTTATAACAGCAAACGTGACATATTTTCACTTTTTATCAGTGATCCACTCAATTTTTGACCTACTTCGGCTCATTTATTTGACCTACCTTGGCTTATTCAGCTTGCTTAACATCGCTAAGTTTTGAAACGCTAATTTTAAAAGACTTTTTTGTCATTATGTGTTGTACGTTCTCCTCCGATTTTAAATCCCAGAAAAGAATTCATATATCTAAGCACTTCTTGCGTCTTACATTATTCCAACTTTTGGTTTTTTTGAGAAATTAAATTGCATAACCGTTTTCCTTTAGAAAACTCTGGTTAAATTTGTTCTTTTGCTTTTTATCAGTAAATTATAGGTTTTTTGCTGCTCAAAATGATATAAATATTGATAATATCGCGCTGTCCCTGAGGCCGATATCGCGCCACAGCGCGAAGAGGAGCGAGGGAACCTTTCGGTAGGGGAATTCACACGGCTAGCGTAATTTTTACCATATGCGGCGGCTCTGACGCTAGCTCTGGCTGGCTGCGGCAGCAGTCGGCTGCCTGAGTACCACTTGCACGCCTCCCTATATTGTGATCTTCGCTTTGATATAATGGCTGGCTTAGAAGTCTGTCTTTCTGAAAATTTAAGTCTCGCACAGCTGCACACGCGACAAGAGCGCATATCTCTACCAACAGTCAGCATCAAAAATGTGTAAATACTTAGGTAATGCTTTTCATAGGTCTGTACAATTTTGTTGTGCTTTAGAGATGCCCTACCATATCCGTGATATCTGTGCAAATTTTGGTCTCATTGTAAAGCCTGTGGATTTTGCCAAGATTTTATGTTTGGCATAATGAATGAAAAAAAGGAGTCGTATCTGGGCCGCATTCAAATTTCTTCGCAGCTATGAAAGCTTGATTGCTGCAATTTTGCTTCATTACGACACCATTTCTTTCCTTTCTATCCTGGAAGTTTCAGGCTGTTTCGTTGCGCCTCTAGCGAGTTACAAAATTTTAAGCTCAAAAATCCGTTTCTGGTTTTTGGGATCTCATCTATTAGGCTGTCTCATAATTTTTTACCATTTTTACCCTAGATATCAGCATTTATCGAGAACTGAGGCACCTACAAAAAATCCAAGTACATGGTTGTACTTTTATGATGAGCTACATGATCACATGCGTGGGAAGAGCTCAGAATGTCTAGGGGGAGAGTTTGCCATTTCGCCTCATTCATTTTTTTCCTTTATTTCTAGCCATGGAAAAAATCCGGAAAGTGCAGTACAATCGAATGTGCGATGTGTCAAGCATGTGCTAGAATAAATGGGGAATTTTTTTAGATACTTTGGAGCGGAGATACGATTTGTGACAGAAAAGTTCGTTTTCAACCACTATCAGACTTCAGCTCAAAACTTCACGTGGGATATGATTTGGGTAGACTTTGGATAGCCATATTGTAGAGGTTGCTTTGCCCTGTCGAATGATTATTCAAGCTGCACCAGATGAAGGAAAGATGCAAAAATACGGCGGTTGTAGTAAAAACGGTAAAGAATTATAAAACAACCCAATAAATTTTCTAGAGTCGCTTCTGATATTTTTCGAGCAGTCTGGACACTCTACTACACAACCTGCAGCCTCTCAGCCTTTCCCTGACTTTAGTGAGATGAGGGGGAGAGGATCGTAAAGGAGGTTTCGGATCGTATTAAACACGCTTGACCCTGGTACCCAGGCTGCCATGGCGATTTGGAACGATGCATATCATTACATGCGTTCTATCAAGTTAATCACAAACCTAACGTATCTGCTGCGCGGTTGTCTAAAAGAAATCATGAGCTTATAAGCCCGAATTAGCAAACATTCAGCTTTACAACCCCATAAACTAGCTTTTCAAAAATGTTGCTTATCCATATTGCAGTATATGTGTGCATTCCTTGCAGTCAGTATACTCAATATCATGTTGATGAAGCACCTCAAGCTGATTTTCAAGGCATGTGCATTGGAACCTTTACAATTTCATATTTTTGGTTAGCTTATAAGTAAAAAACCGCGCAGCAGTTATGGAAGGCAGATTTGAAATCTTCAACAAGTAATGATGCGCAACGTTCCAGATCGCCACGGCGACTCGGGAGCCCTCCCTCGTCAGGTAGATGAAGATTACCGCAAGGACACGATATATCGCTAATTCCCTCAATCCGCGTATTTACTCGCTAAAGAAAGGAATTGTTGATAAAAAAATTGATTTAAACTATTTACTTCGTCAGAGTAAGACTTTAAGCATGGGAAGTTTCACTTTTGTAATGTACTATGGCAGCAACTGGTGGGTATCTCAGCTGTTCTTTCACAGAGCTAGCGAGGAAGGGGTTCTACTGTACTGGATACGGTGGTTAGATAGATCTCTAGCCGCAAAGCTGCTTCCATAGCTATATATCTGCTTTAACTACATTGCTGAAGTGTACGCAACTACCGTACCCAATACTGTAGAAACCTTTGAGCGAATTGAGCATAAAATTGCAATTAGAGTGTTATGTGATTACTCACGATGAAACTGCGATGAAGTATGCGATCTGTGCTCGGGAAGTATTCATGAGGACGTGATTTCGTAAGCTCGTAACTCGACGACTGCTAGAGACTGGGTCCTGAGACATGCAACATTGAATAGCTTGCTTTTTAGTGACTTTGACCCGCAAAGACAAGGCAAATCTTCCAAAAGTTACGCGAAAAGTGCAGGCGATCTTACGAACTTGCATGGCTTAGATATGGCTCCTTTACTATATCCTGCTAAGAGACTATGTTAGAGACCACGACTTTCGTAGACAGCGTATTCGAAAATCTCTATGAGCAAGGTTTCCTTTCCATCCAAGATTATCGATAAGCCATCGGCAAGCTTCGGAGCGTAAAATCGACCTGAACAACTAGCTCAAAGAAGATATCTGACTGGCTGATTACGAAAACCATCTGCTCAGCAGGAAAGCTCACCAGCTCTTCCCTCTTTTACGAAAAGGACTCTGCGCGGCTGCTTTTTAGCGCTAATAATCTACGGAAGCAGCACTATCGTATGGTGCTTACTGGAATCTTTCAGGTATGATGTGCATTGCTTACATCTTAGCGAAAAGACGTCGGCAAAAAAATTTGAGAGAACTGTAAACGGAATGTCAGACGCATGCTGTAGATTGAAAAATCCGCCTCAATGAGCTGGGCACAATGCCTTTATCGGATTTAGAATATATTCGTTCCGAAGAAAGTATGGCGCTGCCTAGTTTGCGCTATCCACGACACTCCGAAAATTTCGCGACATTCACGGAATCTGCACGTCCTTTGAGGGGCTGCACAAAGGAGAGCAACCGCTGATAATTCCCTTTACAAGCAAAGCGACACCTATTTTAGTTAATATCTCTATGTAAGAAAGGAGCCTAAGTAATCTTTTACTTTACACCGCATAATTCGTCAAACTTCATGACGACTTGTACCGCATCACTATTTATCAAAAACGAGTTGCTTGCAATCCATCATCCCCTCGTCTTTGCTTATTCAGATGATGTGTACAGAGATTAAACTGAACAAGCTTGTCAGACTACTCGAGAGACAAGGTTTTAGAGGTGAGCTATTGTGTTTTCCTTCATATGGGTCAACATTCAAGATTCAGACGTTGTCCCAACTATACTCGAAGAGGGACTTCATCTTTTCTCTTGGTCTGGGAAAGATATATACAAGTTCGCAAAATCTTTTCATTTAATGTTCTATCAAATACTAAAAGCAGAAGATGAATTACTGATGACAACCACAAAACGAAACGGTGATGTATTTGCAATCTTTAAAGAGGTGAGCATGCGTAACGAAATGAGCTCATTGTACTCTACATGAAGTCATAATTTCAGTTTTATTTCATGATCATCCAGATTGAAGAAGAATCACAAGATGAAGTTTGGAAGCAAGTAAAGGAATCTATTGATGGGAACTTGTATGCCAAAAAGTGCAAGGAGATGAAGCCAATCAAGGAAGCTTTCAGAAGGTCACTCGAAAATAAAGAACCAAACTTTTGACTTCCAAGTAATGCAATGATTTTCCTAGTTTCTAACGGTATGACGTACTGAGCCATAAGTAAAACTAAACTCAGATGTTGCTGGACTGTTTAGAGCGATGCACGACCCTAACACTTTGAGTTTTATACCCATGTACACTTTTGTGTTACTAGTTTAGTACATTTATGCTCAGCAAGATATTACAAGTGCAATTGATAAACACAAGCTTTAGAAGAGTGCAGTTTGCTGACATCAGCTAGCTACCAACACCACCATCATCACACCATCCAGTGATCATTTGAAAGGAGACAGAGGGTAGAGGAGAGAGGAAGTGAACATTTGCGGAATGGGAGAGTGAAAGAACAGAGGGTCAATTTAAGCGAGAGGATAGAATGTCTGATTTGACCTATAGCGTCACACCCTGGGTAAAGCAAGAGTTATTTCGATACGAACGTGTCTTTTAGATCAAGAATGATGAACTGCTAGAGGCAGTTAGCGGGTAGGACGTTCTTCACCGTTTTTGGACCCCCTTCTACTGGTCCTCAAAAGACAGCAACTATCGTAAGATGACCACTGGTCTGTGGAGACTGCCCAACTCAGACGCAGTCTCAACCTCAGAAGGATCTTTTGTCGCGACAGAATGGCTGCGGGACTCCACGAAAGCTATCCGGGGAACTCCGGTCACCGACTTTCAATTGGGAGATCATTGCCCAAAACAAGTAATTTTCCCGTATTCATTTAGATCGGTAGAGAATCTGGGCTTCAGCGTGAGAGCGAGTGGTGTTGTGATATTCTATCACCGCGCACTTGCGCTCATCACTGTTTTCTTGAGAGTTCTTTGGAATACGTTTCACATTCACGTTTTCAAATTTATATACACTTCACGGCATACAAAAAGATGTTTCTTGGAATCTTCTATAACATTTGTACACATTGTGAAATAGGTGACTCCAGTTCGAGTAGAAGGGTTGTTAAGAAAAAATAAAACGTGTAAGCACAAGAGTAATATTGTATAGCGGCCTGCAGGATCGAAGGTCAGACGTGCGTACGGCCATTGCACCGCGCACGTCAGATGTGCGTCCGACGATCCAGGTAAGCGCCAGACATATCCTGTTGAACAGGTTCATTCGGTTCACCACCTTTGGTGTTGGACAATGTAGTGATTTAACCTATGAACCGAACGAATCGGGTGAAGCGGATAAGTCTGGCACCTGCCCTAGTGACATCGGACGTGCGCGGCGCAAAGGGCGTACGCACTTCTGACTCTCGCGATCCTGCAGGCCCTTTATAATGCATTTTTTTGGTCAACACGATGAAAAGAAAAAATGTTTAGTCATCTGTATAAATGAAGCTGATTGTCTGTTTGTTTATGTGTCTGTCTGTCTGTGCGTTTGTCTTTACGTATGCTATGAATAAAAATTAATATTTTTCAAACGATCCGGTCCAAACTTTGCACACACATCGGGGCGGGGCAGGTGTCGCAGGTTTACTTTTCGTCATTGATCTGTATGATTTTATTGATTTTTGCAAAGTTTGAGCTACGGAGCTGGAAGTGAGCATGCTGATTGCGATTTATTATTCAGAGCGGAGTCGGTTTACCACATACTTTCGATAGTCTAGAGACAGGGCGTCAAAAGCGAAGTTTGTTTGAACATCTGAACTCATAAATAGTGAAGGTTGTTTGAAGAAGATCAGAGAAGAGTAAATGACGTAAAACAGATATAAAAAGCAAAAGAAACTGCTGAAAACCAGATAAAAACGCTACAATGAGGTTTGAAATCTTTAATTTGGTGGCTTTGTAAAGTACAAGATTTCGCCTCAGGACCAGCAATTCGCAACACGGGGGCGAAGAAGAGCTAATTTCTTTTTTGCGATTGTTTCAAAAAAACATGTTTCGGAAGGAGTGGTTATCAAGAAGAAAATAAACAAGAAAGAAATTAGTTATGAAAATGCAAAGTTCCTTTTTTACTAAGTCGAAAAGAACATCGAAGCCAAGTTTGATTTTTGATGCGTTCTTTAAATTTTTACCCCCGCATTGACGTTCCTGTTTCTTGGGACGTTGTCTGAATTGTTGCGCTTATTGTTCTGAGCAACAATCGCCCAAGCTGGAAAAAAAATCGCTGCGAAAGCACTGAAAAAGAACGAGGTGTGAACGAAAAAAGGAAAGAAAAACGCACTTTTTACGATTTTTCGCGAAAAATTCCAAAATAATCGAAGAGATAAGGGCTGGGTGTTTGTCTGCATTATGAACAGAAGCAAGATCTATACAGGGTATTTGAGAAGTTCGTGTCCTAAAGTACCCCAATTCGAATTCTGACGCGCTTTTTGTTTTATTGTGCTTATCAGACCTAAATACCCTAATTTCAGTGAAATCAAGTTTCTTCGCGGGTTCCTTGATTTTTTATTAGATTGAAACACATCAGTATAGCTTTCCAAACCTCGTTCTTTAAAACGCTTGTTACAAAAAAGGAGACGTAATTCACAAAAAAACTTGGTATACCTGCTGAAAGTCCTTTCCTTAAGGTTTCTTAAATGTGCTTTTACTTTCGTAGACGTAGTCCAGCACCGAAATTTTCATATTCTATCTTCATAACCTTCGCAAGCGTGCAAAATTTTTGGAACAAATATAACGAAGGGTGGAGAGTTGTACTACAAGTACATATTGAAATAAGACTTCCAAAAATTTTTCAAAGTGAAAAAATTCCAACGCAAACGGGTGTTGCAACTGACTGCTGTGATTCAGCGCATAGAAAAATCTTCGTTAGCAAGCTACTAAAGAACTTTTGTTATATAAAGAAAGTGTAAATCTAGGACCATTTGTAGGAAAAAATCAAAAGCTGTTTTCCTTTTCCGGCGTTAAGAAAAAAGAACAAATCAGATAACGCACTCTCTAAGGAAGCTGAAAAAAATTGTTCACTTCCAAATTTTTTGGGGTATCTTGAGGCAAAAAATATTTTTCTTTGTTGATTCAGTGGTTTCTGGGATTGGCGAACACACATAGCAAAAATTGAGTCAGCGTTCGCAGTTGAAGTGCTTAAGGAGACGAACTTTTCAAACACCCTGTAAGACGCACGAAAACACGGCGTGAAGTGAGCTAGACTAGGAAAAAAACAAGAGATTTTCGAAAACAAGGTTTTTGCCGGATTTCTAGATCAAATCACTCATTGATGAGATAGACCAGCGTTTTTGTGCCCGACTCTCTGCGCAAAATCCAAGCGCAGCTCGTTTTTATTCAACTCCGGCAGCTTTATTAAACTTCTGAAACTCGATTTTGGTCAAATAAGAGGTTAACTAAGAGATGTTGTCCTGAATTCTGCCGAAAAGTTCACAGAAACCTTCTTTTAAATGCAAAAAAGCCTATGAAAACGCAAATTCTCGGTTTCGCTGAGACACAAAGATATCATTCCCGATATTTGTTTCATCAACAGTCGCTCCGATATAGTCAGGGTAATAACATCCGGGGCTTTGCACCGGATGACTTTTGTTATTTTTTCTAGGTGAAGGTTATGTCCCCTCATAGCCCTTAAAGTGAAGGTTATTAGAGTACGTGGCTCTATGTGTCGAGGGTATGGTTTACCAGTTAGTAAAACATGAAAAAAGCAAGTAAATCGGAAGTCGCAGCGGAAGCGGGTATCTTTTTACAGATTTCTCCAACCCTGTTTTCCATATGGTGGATAGTCCGAAAGTCGCGACAGAAGCAGGTTGCCGTGACAGTACTCACTGATTTGCGATCTCCCCGTTTGTGAGCGGACCGATCGCGTGAGCTAACCACTAATGTTGGAGAAAACGGCGAAATTCGTTTGCCTACCCGTTAGCACTTCGTTTGGAAAACTATGATTCGATTTATTGTGCCCAGGGCCCGTCACAAGAGTGTCTAGTGGCATTTGATAAACGATCAAGCACTGTCCCTTCAGGTTACGATTTTCGCCTTGAGCGCGCCATTTGCGCAGGTAGCTTAACCTGAAACGCGTTCATTTTCAGGGCCTGCCATTCGTTGCTATTTTTTGGCTGTAAGGGAGTGAGGGTTTTGCAAGAAAGTTGTTACTATATATTACATGTGGATATACATATAAAGATTATCTATGAACTACATAGTGAGTGGCAATTGCTGCTTCCTTAAGAGAAAATGCAAAACCCTTTGCGCAATCAGTTCTTTTTCGCGCTGTCTTTGCAGTAAAACAAACTTTTTGAGCAATTTTTGGGCTAGAAATTATGGCGCGCAGATTTATTTGTCAGGTAATATGACGTTAGAGAAAATCAAATTAGCTACCTAGTTTTGCGTGCCAAAAGCCGCATATTTTGAAAGATGCGCTTATCGAACCGGCTCCTACTTGTTATGATGTACCCATATGCTGGTACCGTATGTGTGTAAGAGTAAAATTGTAGCTTTGCTGCAGCTCGCTCTATAAATTTGACGAACAAACATGCACACACGCACAAAAAACAGACGCTTAGTGCTTTATTATAAGTCACGACAAAAAAGGCAGAGCAGAAATGCAACGTGTTAGGCGTACAGACATTAGATAAAAGTAGTACAGCTAGGAGATACTTATTGTAGAAAATAAGCTAAAACTATCTGCATAGTTAAAACAAACATTTACCTCGATCAGATTGTTTCAAAGTTCAAGGATGTTCACTGTATCGATCTTGTAAGTTCAGTGGTAACTCTCTCTACTCCCTGAATTTTGCGTTATCTTAGTCTAATTGCAAACAACTCCATATTATGCAGCTACGTATTATAATGCGATTGCACCTACAAGGGAATGGTCAGACTCAGACAATCGGTGCCGTAGCTCCGGAGGACAGTCGAAATCTGGCAGAGCTGCGGAGGACCCAATTGACCATTGAGAGCGGGGCGAGGGGGCGGTCCCTTTCTGTGACGTCACGGTGACGTCACAAGAAGGCAGATGGGACCCCTCCGGCGGGCTTTCAAATTTCTGCTCCGGAGGTACGCCAGATTTGGGAGAGCCCCGGAGCACAGATTTGCGCTCCGGAGGTACGCCAGATTTGGGACACTTCCGGAGCACAAAATGGGAGGTCTCCGGAGCACAAAATGGGAGGGCTCCGGAGCAGAAAATGGGAGGTCCGCGGAGCACAAAATGAGAGAGCTCCGGAGCACAAAATGAGA